GTTGTCACGAAGTTCTTCACTGTCTTTCTTCTCATTACATGGCCAAAGAACAGTGTTTGTCTCTTTCTGATTGCTGCATATAGAGATCTACTTTCGTTAGCTTCTTTCGAACAATCGTTGTTAGTTACTGTTGCCATCCAAGGTATTCGTAATTTTTATCTCAGAAACCACATCTCTGTTGCTTCCAAATTCTTCTTAATTTATTCACTGACATTCTAAGATTCGCTGCCATAAAACATAACAGGTTCTATGTAACATTTTAGCACCCTATTTTCAAACATTTCAAATATAAAATGAAGCACATATAAATGAATATTTTTCACTAAAAAACACGGATCCTTTAGTCCAATATTTCACTAAAAACAAAGATCCTATAGTCAGATCCTAAAAAACACAAATCCTATAGTCCATTATTTCACTAAAAAACACAGATCCTATAGTCCAGTATATCACTAAAAAACACAGATCCTATAGTCAGATCCTGAAAAACACAGATCCTATAATCCAGTATTTCACTGTATCTTTTACCATAGCAGACTTAGGCAAACCTGATTTCAAAAATAATTTGTTTATAAATTAGTTTTGTATTTAATTTCAGCAACTGATGAAGTGGAGTCATTACGTAAACAGTATACAAAAGTTTGTAATGCCTATGGTTGCTTTGGAACTTTGTGTTTAAATGCAGGTTTGTGGCTGTCATAGTGGAGTGATTATTACATCAGTTTGTATGTACAATCGTCCAGTATTAAATTCTCCAGTAATGGCAGGATTGAATTGTTCTTATTTTTCTTTTGTTTGCTTGAAATAAATTATTTAAATCTGCAATGTTGTCTTTAGTATGAACCTCAGTGCCTTTTGTAATTCACACAACGACCCGTAAAGTTTGACTTGCACCGATGTTTCTCTTGGCCAAAGGTTTTGCTTTGATATGTTGTATTTTTGACAGTCTTGGAGGACATGATCTGTTGTCTCAGGTGCCAATCCACATGTGCACATGGCTGATTCCCCGATTTCAAATTGTGTGTACACGAGGCTGATTCTCCGATTTTTAATTGTGTGTACACGTGGCTGATTCTCCGATTTCAAATTGTGTGTACATGTGACTGCGAATTCGATTGTGTCCTATTTTAAGGCGCAGAATAATAACTTGCTCTGGTATGTCCATAAAATGGTAATTGTCCTGTGCTGGTTTTTGTGGCTCTCTGGTAGATTCGATTATTCTCTAAATTGAAAGAATCTAGAAAGGATTGAATTGATTTCCAAACCAGTAAACTTTGAATGCCAATCTGGCCTGAGGAAAGGTACTGCTAGCTACAGTAAAACTGAAAAATGTTTATGTGTATGTTTATATTTATGTGTATGTTTATGTTTATGTTTATGTTTATTTGTATTACTATCTTGTTGTATATTGCTTTAACATTTTATATTTTATTGTTTAAAAGATGAATGCTTTATCATTTTCAAATCCGCAGCTTCTGCTGTTAGTTGTGAACTGTTAGACCTTCAGGTAATGGCGGGTCCTTCCGTGAATGTAGTGTCCCCTCAAAAATGTTGGACCCTCTCATTTTTGCTGGTGAATAGATTGATTTCTTAACGATAATTTTAATTATATAAGGATTATCTCCAAAAATTCTCTTTCATAAGTAACACACAGAGAACTCAGCACACTGCACACAACTCTAAAATGTGTGCTCTCACACAAGTAACGCATAAAGAGCTCTCAGCACACTGCACACAACTCTAAAACACATGCTTTCTCACAAGCAACACACAGAGAACTCTTAGCACACTGCACACAACTCTAAAACACGTGTTCTCTCACAAGTAACACACAGAGAGCTCTTAGCACACTGCACACAACTCTAAAACACGTGTTCTCTCACAAGTAACAGAGAACTCTTAGCACACTGCACACAACTCTAAAACACGTGTTCTCTCACAAGAAACAGAGAACTCTTAGCACACTGCACACAACTCTAAAACACGTGTTCTCTCACAAGTAACACACAGAGAACTCTTAGCACACTGCACACAACTCTAAAACACGTGTTCTCTCACAAGTAACAGAGAACTCTTAGCACACTGCACACAACTCTAAAACACGTGTTCTCTCACAAGTAACAGAGAACTCTTAGCACACTGTACACAACTCTAAAACACGTGTTCTCTCACAAGAAACAGAGAACTCTTAGCACACTGCACACACCTCTAAAACACGTGTTCTCTCACAAGTAACACACAGAGAACTCTTAGCACACTGCACACACCTCTAAAACACGTGTTCTCTCACAAGTAACACACAGAGAACTCTTAGCACACTGCACACAACTCTAAAACATGTGTTCTCTCACAAGTAACAGAGAACTCTTAGCACACTGCACACAACTCTAAAACACGTGTTCTCTCACAAGTAACAGAGAACTCTTAGCACACTGCACACAACTCTAAAACACGTGTTCTCTCACAAGAAACAGAGAACTCTTAGCACACTGCACACAACTCTAAAACACGTGTTCTCTCACAAGTAACACACAGAGAACTCTTAGCACACTGCACACAACTCTAAAACACGTGTTCTCTCACAAGTAACAGAGAACTCTTAGCACACTGCACACAACTCTAAAACACGTGTTCTCTCACAAGTAACAGAGAACTCTTAGCACACTGTACACAACTCTAAAACACGTGTTCTCTCACAAGAAACAGAGAACTCTTAGCACACTGCACACAACTCTAAAACACGTGTTCTCTCACAAGAAACAGAGAACTCTTAGCACACTGCACACACCTCTAAAACACGTGTTCTCTCACAAGTAACACACAGAGAACTCTTAGCACACTGCACACAACTCTAAAACATGTGTTCTCTCACAAGTAACAGAGAACTCTTAGCACACTGCACACAACTCTAAAACACGTGTTCTCTCACAAGTAACAGAGAACTCTTAGCACACTGTACACAACTCTAAAACACGTGTTCTCTCACAAGTAACAGAGAACTCTTAGCACACTGCACACAACTCTAAAACACGTGTTCTCTCACAAGTAACACACAGAGAATTCTTAGCACACTGCACACAACTCTAAAACACGTGTTCTCTCACAAGTAACACACAAAAAACTCTTAGCACACTGCATACAACTATAAAACACGTTTTCTCTCACAAGTAACACACAGAGAACTCTTAGCACACTGCACACAACTCTAAAACACGTGTTCTCTCACAAATAACACACAGAGAACTCTTAGCACACTGCACACAACTCTAAAACACGTGTTCTCTCACAAGTAACAGAGAACTCCTAGCACACTGTACACAACTCTAAAACACGTGTTCTCTCACAAGTAACACACAGAGAACTCTTAACACACTGCACACAACTCTAAAACACGTACTTTTTCAGAAGTACACGCTTTTTAAATATATACATGGGTACCTCAGGATATGATTTTTCAGGAAACTAGGTCATGCTCACAACCCACTTCCCTCGAATATGAGGCGATATTCACAGTGTGAGCTGGAGGGATGAGAACTCTTTGGGTTACCCGATAGCATCGCGTAACTTTTGAATGGATTACAAATAATTAACAGTGTTACATGTTGAATTAAGACCGTAGCACTCGGGACACCCACATAAGCGCTCCGTCCCTATCTTCAGCAGCAAACGAAGAGTTCCAATTCCGATGGTACCAGTAACTGTCTGAATGTATATCCGTCTCGCCCTTCATTGAGTATTGAGCGTCGGCCAAATTCCCTGGTAACTCCTCGTAGCGCAATTCTCCTCAGACCGTAATGATCTATCTGCGCTTCCGCACTGTTCACTCTCTCCCAGAGGGCTCTCACAACGTCTAGCTTGTCATACATCCATTCAACATCAAGTGTTGCAGAACCGGCCAGTCTAACTGACTGCTCATTTCCCAACCCCCCGGCATTACCTGGAGAGAATATTCAAAGGAGACTAACTGCCAAGAACCTCTGAAGTGATGCTTGCTTGCCGCTCTGCACGGAGCATACCTGTCTTCACCTTTCTCAACTTGCTCGGTCAGTCAGTGATAATCACGGCATGTGTGTACAGCTAATTAACAAATAATTAACAGATCACAGGTACTCCCACATCAAAGTAGAGGGGGACAGAGAGGCACATGTTCACATACAAAAATAGATAGCGAGAGAGAGAGAGCGCGAGAGAGAGAAGGCGAGAGAGAGAGAGAGCGCGCGCGCAAAAGAGAGAGAGAGAGAGAGACAGAGGTAAAGAGGAGGAGTACTAGAGAGATCACTATGACGTAATTCATCCAGTGGGAACCCCTACTAGTGTAGTGAAAGATCCCTTTTTCACGCCTTTTAAGCGCATTGGTCATATGGGAAGAGCACCCATATTTTTACAGATCATTCGGCACTAGGTGGGTAATGTGGTCAGCATTACGCCGGCCGTCTTTACTTTCCCATGACATACATAATGGTACCCATTTAAGGCTGGGTCGACCTGAGACGCGCCCATACCACGATAAAAATCCACGCAGCCAGCAGTGGGTTTCGATCGGACTCGCAACGCCTAAGCCACAGACGCCGCTTATTTGTGTAGAAACGCTGTATTCAGTAGTAATATTTAAACCAGAATGTAGTTAGTTAGTGTAGAGTTAAGCAGAAAATGAAGAGTTCATAAAGTAGAATCTAAAGATAGCAACTCTAGGAAGAGGTGCGTGATAATTGCTAACTAGAAACTGAATCACTCCCTTAGCCCGCTAACAGCATTCCCAATCAAAACAAACATTATCCTTTCTAATGGGCCATAATCTTTACAACAGATCAGCAATTAATAAAAATTTTAATCAATAATAAATACATTTTTATGATAATTTAGTAATAAAAACATGTAACTTGTGTTTGTTGTGGTTGAAGCAGCTAGAAGCGACAAGTGACATCACTGGTTTATTGCTTCCGCCATGACGGCCGGACACAGAAGGTTTCTGTATCGATCGCACTGAACAATTCACCAAAATGTCGGGTAATGCGGGATTGGAACATCTTATTCCCATTGTCAACAAATTACAGGATGTATTTGCTTCACTCGGAGTTCCCTTGTCTTTGGATCTACCACAGATTGCGGTTGTGGGAAGCCAGAGCGCGGGGAAAAGTAGTGTACTGGAGAATTTCGTCGGCAGGTAGGATGTAGCTTAGCTATACAGTACACAGTCATTGATTACTCAGTAATAACTTAATAATACCAAATGACACTTGACAGCCTGAGTACTTACTTTGATAGGGTAAAGGGACTACCTTTGAATAAGTGAGTGAGTTTGGGTTGTATTTGCTGTCGTATTTGTTAAATTCTCCCACTGGGACTGCAAAAAACGCCGGCTTTGCACAGTTTGAGTGAGTTCAGATCAGTAAACACTTAATTTACTTTAACTTTACTAATGACTTTCCGGATGCAAATCCAGCAGGAATAAATCCTATACACATTGCGAAAAGCGGATGATAATATAACTAGAATGCCGTTTTCATGGAATCCACAGAATCAAACAAATAAATATAAACAATTTGCAAAAGACATATGAATGAGATTTTAACGAGGGAAAACTGAAGACCTAAAACAGGAAGAGTGAACTCACTCAGTTATTGCATGAGGAGGCAACATTTAGGACAAGTGGGTGGCAGTTGTTTTACTGAAATTAACAGCCCTATGCTACCAAGAGTTATTGTCAATATAATGACAGCGCTTAAGAGAATTTCATGTTCTTAACTCGTTAACTGAGTTCAACTCAGCATGACTCCAGTATGTGGATCTAAATGATAGTCGAGCATATGAGTAACTGAGTAACTATAATTAATTTGATAACTATGATTAATTCAAAAACTTTTATTAACCCAATAACTATGATTAATCCATTAACTATAATGAATCCAAAAACTGTATTTTAGAGTTGTTCCCATGACCCCCTTGTTGGGCACTGGTAGTTGGAATACTTGCCCATTGTTATGAAGTTCATGTCGAGAAAAGCTCCGGCAAAGATGTTGAATCTTTGTCTTGTGCAGGGTGTTTCCCTTCCAGTGGATATCACAAAACATGTGCCTTGTAAAGACCTTTCCAGTGCCAGGAAAATCTTAAAGTTTGCACACGCTAAGTAATATAGCCTAAAGCCGCTGTTATATGGGCCAAGACAAAAGAGCCCTCGACAGACAAAACACATTCAACATGAAATTCACAGTTCATAATGTCACACCAAGCACTCAGCTCAATAGCTAGGCAATGAAACCTTTGAAATCCCAGTCCAGGAGTGGAGAATTTGACTCAGAAAAATGTAGCTAACAACAAATAACTTTTTAAAACATCATGGATGTTGGCCATTTTTCCTCAGGTCTTATTCCTGTTACCAGATCACTATACAGGAGATAGCTTATCTTCATCTCTGTTGAGAAATACGAGAATTGGAAGTACAGATCGTTAGAGCCAGGCATAAGAGTCACACCAGACGTACAAGAAGTCATGTTAGCCAGCATAGGACTGGTACTGTTAATCTCGGGTTGCTGATATATATGTTGAAAGGGGAATCTGTTTGCCATTGCTTTCTGAATGTTTAGCTCTTGTGACCACAGTCAGAAATCAGTGCAAAGCAGTCTACTGCCAGATCATCCACAGCTAGAATCGAATTGGGTATCTGGGAGTTACAAACCGCATTCACTTAATGAGGTAGCCAACCCCAAACCTAACCCTAATCATAGTTGCCTCTTGTGACATTGCTAGTAAGGGTGTAGTTAGTTTTGTATTCTATACTTCTTCTTCTTTGCGTTCTTTGCTTAGATAAGACCATCAGGTGGGTTGCCTCTATGAACTCGCATGTCAGCTGCAGGTCCTGCATGGTTCCCCATAGCTTGCTCTGCACACTTATTTTATACAGGAGTTGCCAAACCAACCTCTGCATTTTTTGGCTGTTGTGGTTTTTCTAGGCAAATGTTACATCCAGTAGTTTGTTACTGCTTTCTGAACGGTCAACTCTCGGTGCTATCGTTAAAACCAATGCAAGACAGACCGTCCGCAGCTGGGATTGAACCCCGCACCCTGGCATTACTAAGCTCAAAAGGTGCTGCTTTAATATTCATCTTTTCCTTAAGAGCGGTGGTAACACACGAGCAGTTAGTTATACTGGCAAGTAATGCACCAAAGCAAATTGGAAAAAGCATGGACAGAGTTGATACCATCAACACACAACCAACTAGCCTGGGGTATAATGGAGAATTTCACACACTAAAATAACTGCGTGAGAGAGGAGTTAAGCTTAGTGAAGCATGTCTATGTCATCTTCGAGGTAAAGACAAAAGATACTATAATCACTTTTCATGGGAACAATCAGTAGAGGTACTTTGGAATGGCTTCTGCATCTGGGGACTGAGCATGCATGAGGATGCCCAGTGGGCAAAGACATCAGTTGTGTTAACACAAGTTAGTTTTACCTTTATGACTCAGCCAGCTGAGAATATTGCACACATTGATTGACACAGCACTCTCTGCTGACAGGGCTGTATGAGGTTATTGATTATGGCCTCATGTTAGGGCTCAGCTGCAGCCACACAGCCATCTGCTGTTGTTAGGAATCTGTTCACAATAGGATTATCCTTTCGGTGTGTGGACATTGATAAACAACGTTGCTGCTTTGTGAAGCCATGATGTATGCTGAAATTAACCCACATGTATTTCTCTTGCTTTTTTGTGAAGCATTAGGAGGCTAATATTGATAAGAGGTATATCATACTGCTTTCTTAACTCTGTAAAACAATGCATGGGGCATTCCCTGGTAGGGAAAGTGTTAAGGAATGTTGACAATGGAGGAATGGAGGCGACTGCAGTTGTACTGATATCAAGAAATGAGTTAATATACACTGCATTATAACTTAAGAGCTTACATCATATCACTAGGGATATTCCCATAAGTGCTGTCCATCCCCTCCATCTTCAGCAGCAAATGCAGAGTTCCAATTCCAGTGGTACCAATATCAGTGATATTGTATGTTTATCTTGCCCCTCCACCGAGTGTTGGTTAGATCCCTTGATCACTGCTAACTGCACCATGTGATGATCTGTTTGTGCCTCTGCACTGTTTGGTCACTTCCAAAGGCATTGACCACATCTGGCTTTTTGTACATCATATCAACACCCACCAGTGCACCACCAGCCAGTATGTTTGCCTGTTTATTTCCCACCACACCCACATATCCTGACTAAAACATCCAAATAATGCTAACTCTTGGGGACCTTTAAAGCAGTACTTGCCACTCTGAAAGAAGCAGGCCTTTCTCCACCTTTCACATTATAGTTTCTGAGTCTTACAATTACAGCATGTGTGTGCAGCTGGTTCACAAGCCACAGTAAAGCTGCTGTGACTGCCTTCATCTCCATTCTCAAACTAGATGTTGCGGTTTCATATTCTAGGCTTTGTTTTAGTAACTATCAACTGTGTTGCTGGTCAAAAGCTTCTGTTGTATGATTTCTTGCTTCCCTAATGAGCTTGAGACCCTATGTTTGAACGTTATAGTCTACATTATAGTTGTATCTTTACCATAACTCTGATGTTATGTGTAATGTTATGTAATGTTATGAATTCCCGGCGAAATCCCTGAGTGTTATCGATTGGGGGGACAAGGTCAGATGACCAGTGAAACAAGACGAAAGTGTGGAAAGCATGTCTCGATTATCCCGTGTTGGATGAATAGAGGTACTGGGAAAGCATGAGACTTGAACAGAAGGTGTGAACCCAGAGAGGATAGGAAGTCAGTTGAAGCATTGGACCTGTATATGTGCGGTCGAATGTAACAGAACAGCTGAGAAAAATGTGGACCGTCTGACCACATGTAATTGTTCGAGAGGAGGACTGAATGTTTACTGACTGCAAGTCTTGACTGTGTATAGGTACCAGGAACAAGATGTTAGCCTGATCCAGATGTATAGTCCGAAAGGTAACAGCAGAGAGAATCACGGTGTGAGATAGTTGGAACTGTTATCATAAATCAGCCATGTGTAGCAGCCACGAGAACACAGAAGAGCTACTGGACAGTGTAGCGGTTGGAATAGCTAATAAAGATCATTAACTCGGTGTTTGTCGTCTGGTGTGTTCCTAGAAACTTTATATAACTAAGAACGTCAGTACAGCAATGTGATGAGTTCAATAAAACGCTAGACAGAGCCACATTGCGCTTATCTGTTTCTTATATACAAAATGATCTCTATTATGTGGTCATCTTTACCACCTTGATTCTTCGTCAATTTATTTTTCCTAATTCCTGTATTGCCTTTCAGCATAGTTGGAGGGAAAAACGTGAAGTTTTTAAATGAGCATCTTATGAGGTGATATTGCCAACCTCAGATATTCCACAAGACAAAAATAATTCCGTTGTGTGTTGTAATAAAAAGTAAAGATACCTTTACAGGCCAGTGGTGTATTGGGTGTATCAGGTTAGAGTCATGTTTTAATTCACCAATCAGCACTCGATGAGGGACGTAGTCAACATGCCGGCCGCCTTTGCTTCTTAGGACTTTACCTACTACCAATTTAATGCTAGGTCAACCTGGAGCCAGTATCAAGTTTGGGGGGGGGGGAATCAGGTACTGTACAGATTCCAACCCATGACCTTCGAATCTGCAGGTGTCTAGCCACTACACCACAGTGGCTCTAGTATATTGTAATATTTCCCCCTAAATATGTCAATTTCATTGGAGTCACATTAGAGTAGTTTTCTCCACTGTATCTTAGTACTACAGCTCTTTATGGGGCCCGTCTTTGTACTACAGCTCTTTATGGGGCCCGTCTTTGTACTACAGCTCTTTATGGGGCCCATCTTTGTACTACAGCTCTTTATGGGACCTTTGTCTTTGTACTACAGCTCTTTATGGCGCCTTTGTCTTTGTACTACAGCTCTTTATGGGACCTCTGCCCTTTATCTTTGTAATACAGCTCTTTATAGGACCTTTGTCTTTGTACTACAGCTCTTTATGGGACCTTTATCTTTGTACTACATCTCTTTATGGGACCTTTGTCTTAGTGCTGCAGCTCTTCATGGGACCTTTATCTTTGTAATACAGCTCTTTATGAGACCTTTGTATTGCAGCTCTTTATGGGACCTTTGTCTTTGTACTGCAGCTCTTTATGGGACCTTTGTCTTTGTAATACAGCTCTATATAGGACCTTTGTCTTTGTACTACAGCTCTTTATGGGACTTTTGTCTTTGTACTACAGCTCTTTATGGGACCTTTGTCTTTGTACTACAGCTCTTTATGGGACTGTTTCCTTTGCTTTTTGACAGAATATACCACACCATCTTCAATTCATTCTATAAAGAACAGCACAATGTGGGGAAGGTTATCCAAGTCAACAGACGCATGCAGAAGTGAGATGTGTAGACTGAAAGGAGCAAATATCACAGCCATGTTGTAAACAGGCACAGCGCAATTACATCTTTGGATGAACGCAGAAGAAGAAGAAAAAAAACAGCAGTGTATTCATTGTTATTCCATAAACGATATAAAAGTTAGTTGCTTATCTCCTTTACACAGACTTGCAGAATCAACCCATCCTTTTTGTGCTGTTTGCAATTTTACTATAAGATTTTACATTCACTAGTGTGCAGTTGCTTTCTAAATGGCAGATGCTTAATAATACCATTGTCAAAATCAATGCGAAAGTTTTCTGCAAAATTGTCTGGAACTAGAATCAAAGAGTTTATTTTGGAATGAAAAAACATATTCACCGTGATAAATGATATACTGCAGCCGGCCTTCCTGGTGGTGATGGCACCTGATTGATTGATTGATTACAGCATACAGAAACCTTATGGTTTTCATTTTCTTTTTTTGCCTGTAGAGATTTTCTACCAAGAGGTTCTGGCATAGTAACCAGGCGGCCTCTAGTACTGCAGCTTATCTACAGCAGGACAGGTGAGTCTGACATCTTTGTTTTACTGAGTTTGTTATAAGTTTTAACAATTTAAAGTCGAGAGGATCAAGTTTATTGCACCAAGTTTTTATTCAGTTTGGCTCCATCTCTCTCTGCAGAATTACTAGTCACCTATCGCATTTTTCGCGCTTAGTTCCAAAGCTGCAGCCATGATTCCCAAGGATCTCTTTCAAATTTGCACTTGTGAACCGAGCGATGCAGCTGTGAAATGAACCCATGACCTTTAGAGCATGAGGCAAGCGGAGACCCCTTGCCGAGTTTGTTTAAATATTTGTGAATATAAAATTGTTGAACTGCCTGACTACATGCAGCCATGTTCAGCTATCATCAAGTAAAAAGGTAAGGAGATGTGAACCAGCGTCATTGCACACGTTTATAAACCATAAGTGCTCTGCCACCAGTACGGACAGCTGACAAGAAACTGTCCGCCTGTGTCGCCGTTCTTCCCAGTAATCCAGCGCAAGGTGGGCGTCTCAACCACCAGCGGGAAAAACCAGATGGAACAACGAGCGATGTTGAGATGAAATCTCCAGGACAATAGCATTTAAAGCTGCATGTTCGAAGGAAATGCTCCCAATTAGTCGCCTCTTATGACATGCTTGTTTTAAGTATTTTGAAGCTACAGCGACCTTCCTCCATTTACCCCAGAGTGTCAACTCTGGTACCCATTTCCTAGAGGCTGGGTGAACCCCGGGAGCCTCCCGGCTTTGAACACCGACCGTGGGCTGCAGCGAGTCGCAGCTGGATTTGAAAGCCTGCCTCGTATCGACTGCGCTAACGCGGCCCCCTGCGATTATCATCAAGTGTCTTGCCATCTGGCGTGGACTGTTGTGCCTCTCTAAAACTTATGATCTCTGACTGCATGTGTCATGTGTATGCTAACAGCCTATGACTTCTGTAAACTATGGTGCTTTTTCAGTGGTTTGAGTAGAATTCTGTCCATGTTTCATAGTTGTGGATTTAAGTTGTGTGATAGACATGGCCAGTGAAGACACCTTTTTTTAGGGGTGCCTTGTTGGTCATGCATCTTAGTACACTTATTTCTGCAATGAGGCGCTGTCATTGTTTGGAGGTGACAGGTTCCATCCCAGGCATGGTAAATGTAGCTTTAGATTTATGTTGTCAAGTGTGTTCTTCTATCTTTCAACTTCTTTCTGTGAGTGCTGATCATGAGTGCCGATCAGTGCGCATTTGTTTGTTAATTATGTTGAATTAAGAATCGACATCACAGCACTCGGAACACTTCCATTTTCAGCAGCAAGTGAAAGGTTACAATTCCGATGGTACCAGTAACAGTCTGATTGTATATCCATCTTGCCCCTCCCCTGAGTGTCGAGCGTCGGCCAAATCCCCTTGTACTCCTCGCAGTGCCATTCTCAGACCGTAATGATTATCTGTTCCTCGGCACTGTTCACTCGCTCCCAAATGGCCCTCGCAACATCCAGCTTGTCATATATCAGTTCACCACCAAGTAGTGCAGAACTGGCCAGTCTATCCGCGTGCTCATTTCCCAACACACTGGCGTATCCTGGAGAAAAATCCAAAGGATGCTAACTACCCGGGACCTCTGAAGTGATGCTTGCCACTCTGCACGGAGCATGCCTGTCTCCACCTTTCTCAGCATTCTCTGTGAGTCAGTTACAATGACGACATGTGTGTACAGCTGATTCTCAAGCCAACGGAAGGCAGCAGTGACTGCCTCTATCTCCATTCTCAAACTAGACGTGATATTATATGCCAGGCTTTGTTGCGCTAAGCGACATCCATTCGCCTTTGCTATGAACCCCCATGCACTTTGTCTGCCCCTCACCACAGAGCCATCTGTATATACAATCACATCACTTGGGCGGGAATTGTCTTGAATTTGTTTATGAAATAATGTCTTATTATAAAGTTTAGTGTCCCATTGGAGCAGTGACTGAAGAAACCCATGCAGGAGTCATCCATCATTACATCAGTCAGAACAGAATGGGAGTTGTTAGCCTAAAAACACGTTGTGACATACTCAGGAGAAGATCGGAGCACACGTAGTTATGTTCAATGTGCGATGAAGATCTTTAAATGAACAGTATAATGTCTTCGCATCTGTGACAGGCGTTGTGAACTAGCTTCGTGATGCCAGGTTCGATCCCAGTTGCGGGCCTTGCGTTGGTTTCGACAGTGGTATCAAGAAGCCGACCGTCCAGAAAGGAATGGCAAACTACTGGATGTAAATTTGCCTAGAATAACCACAACAGCTAAAAAAAATGCTTAGGTTGGTTCTGTGACGTCCTGTTAAGGATACGCAACTAAGTAATGTCTTCACAAGAGGCTGTCGAGAATCTTTTCTGTTGTCTTTCTCTGTCTCTCTTCCTGCAAATCCACATTTATATTGACAATTAAATATACAGAAACATGTTTTTAAAAGGCAGATAAATGATCATTTTCACGCCGTTTGGTGCTCCCATTGTGTAGTGGCAAGACACTCGCCTGCAGATCAAAAGGTCATGGTTTCAGGTCCCAGTGAAGCTGGACTTTTTTCAAAAATGACCTTGGCTCCAAGGTCAACCCAGCTTTTAATAGGTAGCAGGTAGAGTCCTGGGAAGTAAAGTCAACCCGTGTGATGTTGGCCATATCACCCACTGAGTGCCGACTGGTGTGTAAAATATAGGTCTAGCCCTATATGCCTAGTACTCCTGAAGGCGTTGTGGAAAAATATCCTTCCCTTGTTTTCACACCCAGTCACATCAGGCATCTAGTGTCAGATCTATATTATTGAAGATCAGTCAGCACTTGGTGATTAATGTGCTCAACATCACACTGGCATGACTATGACAACAAACCAGTTGTGAAACTGTTCACTAAGACTTCACTTGGTGATTAATGTGCCCAACATCACACTGGCATGGCTATGACAACAAACTGGTTGTGAAACTGTTCACTAAGATTTTACTTGGTGAGAACAGTCAAGTGATATGTCATGGGATTATCAGCTCACCCGAGGGGGATCACAGAAAAGTCTAGTGGTAAATAAAGAAAATTTATTTGCGATTTTGTTTATTTTGGGTCAGGTATAAAGTGACTATTAACAGGGTAGAAGAGATAAATGTTAGAAGTATAGTTATTTGCATGACTTTTACCGAAATTGCAAACTAAAATTAGCATTTATTGACTTTTCTGGCTTTGCAAGGCAGGTTAATGTTCAGTAGTTTGCAGTTACTTTCCTAATTCTTGATGTTGGTTCTGAGACCTCATTTTGGGAGGGAAAAAAATATTTAAAACAAGCATGTCATAAGAGGCGACTAATTAGGAGCATTTCCTTCGAACATGCAGCTTTAAATGCAAATGTCCTGGAGATTTCATCTCTATGTCGCTCGCTGTTCCATCTGGTTTTTCCCACTGGTGGTTGAGATGCCCACATTGCACTGGGTTACTGGGAAGAACAGGCTTCACCACTTGAAGCTGTGGCAGGCTTAAGCAAGAGAGACTGAGAGACATTAACCCTCTCATTCCAGGAACACTCAAACAAATGGGTCATAAACCCATTCTTCATCCATATTTTACAGTTTGTTTTCAAATTGTCAAAATAATCAAAATATATATGTCAAGGGAGAAGTCAATAAACATGACACTGTGAAGCTTTACATGGATAAATTGCCTGGGGAGGGGAGGGGGGGGGGGAGAACACCAATACATAAGTGTTGGGTGACTCCTGCTGTGGCCCGTGACCTCCATCACTGAGGCTTATGGGAACATTTGACATCAACTTAGCTTTCAAAAAAAGCTAGCTCAAATGAAAAAACCCTAAATGCTGTTTTCAGTTAATGTGCAAAAAGTCATTTGCATTAACGTTATGCCTCGTAAAATTAAAAGGTCACCATAGACAAGTCGGAAAAGTGACATTTACAAGGAATTTGGCCCCAGCAGAAGTGTCTGTTTTGTGGCTTCTCTGGCAAAAAGGATTAAGAGTCTTGTTGTGTACATCATATCTCCGTTAGGACCATAAGTATTGATAGTATAATTTGTTGATTCCTCAGAATATGCAGAGTTTGTTCACACCAAAGGCAAGAAGTTCACAGATTTCAACCTGGTGCGTAAGGAGATTGAAGATGAAACTGATCGTGTCACCGGTTCTAACAAAGGCATCTCCAACATACCCATTAATTTACGGGTGTATTCTCCAAATGGTAAGTGTATATAGTTTAAGAAGATAGACTTATCAGTGATACTTCTCAAATCCACTTTTCTCATTTCTGATTCTCAGTTTGCTTAAGCTGACTTGCCAATTCTAGTCTCCTGTATGTTGAAATTAGACATGCCAATTAAAGTTCTCTACTTCATTTTAGTTGCCTACCAGTTCTATTTCTCATATAAGTTTAATTGATTTGCTACCATGTTTCCTTGAAAATTAGACCTACCCTAAAAATAAGTTCTAGCATGATTTCCATGATGCTTTTAGTATAAGCTCTACCCCAAAATCGGCGCCTGTGGCTAAGGCGTTGCGAGTCTGACTCGTAATCCAACGTACGGCGATCAAAACGCACTGCAGGCTGCGTCGATTTGTATCATGGTATGGGACGTCACAGGTCGACCCAGCCTCAAATGGGTACCAGGATGGCTGTCCTGGGGAAGAAAAGACGGCCGGCGTAATGCTTACCACATTACCCACAGAGTGCCAATTGGTCTGTAAATATATGGGTGCTCTTCCCATATGCCTGATGCGCCTAAATGCGTGAAAAGGGATCTTAACTTTCTTTACTTTTCTACCCCAAAAATAGGACAAGAAATGCTCATTCAAGGAAAGCTTTATTGCTGGCCATGAGAAACTGGAGTCAGTGTTTCTACTAGAGCTGTACCGAATAGTAATTTTCACTATTCTGTCGAATACGAATAGTGGGACCAACTATTCGGCCAAATATGAATAGTGTATCATCATCATCATCATCAGTGCGCTGCCGACCGACGTGGGCGATTATGCCTTGCCATAATCTGCTATCTGTTGCAGCATGTATAAGTTCGTGTGCTGACACACCTTCATGCTATGCAACAAAACTGTCAAGAATGTTCTCTTGTTGTCTTCCTCTATCTCTCCTTCCACAGATCTTTCTAATGGTCACCACATGTTCCATTTTCCCTCTTCTCATAACCTGACCAAAAAATGATGACTGTCTCCTTCTGATGTCTTTGATTAGTTGTCTTCGGGCTCCTGCCTCTTTCAAAACCTATTGGTTGCTTTTTTTGGCTGTTCAAGGTATTTTAAGCATTGTTCTGTAAAACTACATCTCTGAAGCCTAGAGAAATTGTTTGGCCTGCCTACCGATTGTCCAGGACTTACAACCATATGTTAAAACTGGAAAAATAGGAGAAAAATAGTAGCAAGCAAGAATTATTTTTCTAACCTTCAATGGCAAAGATATATTGCATAAGATGTTCTTCATTTTATAAAATACAGGTATTGCCTGTCGCCTGTGCTCTTTTCGACAGTGGTGAGGAAAGTATCTCAAGTATCTTTATGTCTTCTTTAATAATGTTACAATTTATAGCCGACTTTTCTTGATTTTTGCCCCGGCATCCCTGGCATTGCACCCAGTTTTAGAACCTTTGCTGTAATGCCTCGGTCAAGTCAGCAGGCAAGACCTTGCCAGCTGCTGTACCACGCAACCGGGTATCAGTTTTCCCGCTACTACAAACTTAGGCAACAGTAACTATTGTGTTAATGAGAGAATTATTTCAGTCCATCGCAGTGTATGCAGAAATGAGTGTAAGGTAACCACTATTCGACCCCGAAGCGAATATGAAGCGGATATTCGGTACAGCCCTAGTTTCTACAGGAATTAAAGTCGCAAGAAAATCAGACAGGACTTGGAGAGTGATGACCATGTTCCAGAAAAACACATGATTTTTGATTAAATATAGAATTTTTTACATGAAAAAATGTTGATTTTTTTTATCTTGAAAAAAAAAGACATCCTCCAAAATAAGCCCTAATGTGTTTTTTAAAGCTAAAAATAATAAAAGACCCAGTTTTTTTTAAATTTACGCAAGTTATTTTTTTTTTTTTAAATAGACAAAATTACATTTGCAGTTTCTAGTTATTAATTTCAGTTTGGTTGACCTCCTATTAATAGTTCTCATCTTGACTTTTATTGCTTATGACTTCCTGAACTTCTCTGGTGTCTCGTGTTTTGATGAAGTTGATGTTGCATATATTATTACTTGTCCAACTATACTTTTCATACATCTTTCTCTTACCTAGTATTTTTATTTTTTTTTAAACTTTTTTTTCCCATTCTGTATCTTGTGTTTTCCTTTCCTTATGTTTTAAAATGTGTTTATTAGTTTGAGTTTTCAATTCTTACATTGATTATCTGATAGCTTTTCTTTCTCTGTATGAACATAACTTTGATTGACATGCCAATGTTTATTATAGTTCTCGGCTTGGTGGTAATTGACTGTCAGTTTTAGATTGAGTTCTCAGTTCTGACATTGATTAATTTGCTGCTTCTATTTCTTTATCCTAACTTTGATTGCCATTCCAGATTTGATTGTAGTCATCGGCTTGACTTTCATTGACTGTTAGCTTTAGATTGGAATCTTGGTTCTATCATTAACTAACATGCTGTCTCTCTTTCTCTATCCTGTTTGTGATTGCCATTCCAGATTTTATTGTAGTCATCAGATTGACTTTCATTGACTGTTAGCTTTAGATTGGAATTTTGGTTTTAATGTTAACTAACATGCTGTCTCTCTTTCTCTATCCTGTTTGTGATTGCCATTCCATTTTTTATTGTAGTCATCAGATTGACTTTCATTGAATGTTAGCTTTAGATTGGAATTTTGGTTTTAATGTTAACTAACATGCTGTCTCTCTTTCTCTCTCTCTACTGTTAGCTTTGGAATGGAATCTTGGTTCTACTGTTAGCTTTGGAATGGAATCTTGGTTCTACTGTTAGCTTTGGAATGGAATCTTGGTTCTACTGTTAGCTTTAGATTGGAATCTTGGTTCTACTGTTAGCTTTGGAATGGAATCTTGGTTATACTGTTAGCTTTGGAATGGAATCTTGGTTCTACTGTTGGCTTTGGAATGGAATCTTGGTTCTAACATTAACTAACATGCTGTCTCTCTTTCTCTATCCTGTCTGTGATTGCCATGCCAGTTTTTAATTATAGTTCTCAACTTGACTTTAATTGATTGTCCGTTCTAGATTGAATTCTCAATACTAATATTGGTTAGCATGCTGCTTCTCTTTCTCTATCCTAACTTTGATTGACATGCCAATTTTTATCGTAGTTCTCAACTTGACCCTCATTGACCTACCTGGGATGACCAAGGTTCCAGTAGGGGACCAGCCGCCCGATATAGAACAGCAGATTCGAAACATGCTCATGGAGTTTATCGAAAAGGAGTCCTGTCTTATCCTTGCGGTCAGCCCTGCTAACACTGATCTGGCCAACTCAGATGCCCTGAAAATTGCTAAAGAGGTTGATCCACAAGGTAGGTATGGTTTTTCAGTTTAAGGGTATGTGCCAAGGATAATTACATATTAAAGGACATGTTCAAATTTAAGAATATTTATCAAGGATATATATACCTATTAATGGATTTTTACCAAGGATAAAAACCTATTAAAGGATATCTACATAATAATGGATATTTACCAAGGATGTATACCTATTTAAAGATGTTTACCAGAATTAAACAGTATCTGTCAAATGGATGTGCATACAAAACTTGTTCTGGAACAAGACCAAAGTTCAGAAGTCCCAACTGTATTTCCACTGGAGTTTGCAGCGGTGAACACTGATCCGAAAATCTCTTCTCCATGTATTTTTCTGTTGTCTTCCCATATTGTGTTAGGCACGTGGGTTCTTGGGTCTCTGTAGCGAAGTGGTCAAGCTGTTTGTCTCACACTTTGAAGGTTGTGGGTTCTTGGGTCTCTGTAGCCAAGTGGTCAAGCTGTTTGTCTCACACTTTGAAAGTTGTGGGTTCTTGGTCTCTGAAGCCACATGGTCGAGCTGTTTGTCTCACACTTTGAAAGTTGTGGGTTCTTGGGTCTCTGTAGCGAAGTGGTCAAGCTGTTTGTCTCACACTTTGAAGGTTGTGGGTTCATGGGTCTTGGTAGCCAAGTGGTCAAGCTGTTTGTCTCACACTTTGAAAGTTGTGGGTTCTTGGTCTCTGAAGCCACATGGTCGAGCTGTTTGTCTCACACTTTGAAAGTTGTGGGTTCTTGGGTCTCTGTAGCGAAGTGGTCAAGCTGTTTGTCTCACACTTTGAAGGTTGTGGGTTCATGGGTCTTGGTAGCCAAGTGGTCAAGCTGTTTGTCTCACACTTTGACAGTTGAGGGTTCTTGGGTCTCTGTAGCCAAGTGGTCAAGCTGTTTGTCTCACACTTTGAAGGTTGTGGGTTCTTAGGTCTCTGTAGCGGAGTGGTCAAGCTGTTTGTCTCACAATTTGAAGATTGTGAGTTCTTGGGTCTCTGAAGCCACGTGGTCGAGCTGTTTGTCTCACACTTTGAAGGTTGTGGGTTCTTGTGTCTCTGTAGCGAAATGGTCAAGCTGTTTGTCTCACACTTTGAAAGTGTTGGGTTCTTGGGTCTCTGTAGCGAAGTGGTCTAGCTGTTTGTCTCACACTTTGAAAGTTGTGGGTTCTTGGGTCTCTGTAGCCAAGTGGTCAAGCTGTTTGTCTCACACTTTGAAGGTTGTGGGTTCTTGGTCTCTGAAGCCATGTGGTCGAGCTGTTTGTCTCACACTTTGAAAGTTGTGGGTTCTTGGTCTCTGTAGCGAAATGGTCAAGCTGTTTGTCTCACACTTTGAAAGTTGTGGGTTCATGGGTCTCTGTAGCCAAGTGGTCAAGCTGTTTGTCTCACACTTTGAAAGTTGTGGGTTCATGGGTCTCTGTAGCGAAGTGGTTAAGCTGTTTGTCTCACACTTTAAAGGTTGTGGGTTCATTTCATGGCTGCATCATTGGGTTCATGAATGCAGTTTTACTGAGAAATTCCAGAGAAATTGCCTATCAATGCTGTCAAATGCTTTTTCATAGTCTATAATGTAAAGTGGTGAGTTCAATTCAATTCTTTGCTCTATTTTTTTTTTACGTAATATGGCTATCTGGTCAGTGCAGGATCTGTTTGGCCAAAAACCTGCCTGTTCATCTCTTAGCTTTTTATCAGTAGCATCTTTTAATCTTTCGAAAATAATTCTGCTTAATATTTTTCCAGGAACTGACAGTAACATAATTCCTCTATAGTTTTCTCACTCCTGTAGATCACCTTTTGTGGGCAGTTTCACAAGATATCCTTCTCTCCAGTCTGCTGGTATTTCTTCGGTCTCCCAGACATTACTAAATAATCTATGTAGCAATTCTGTTGATTTGTTTATGTTGGCCCTAATGGCTTCTGCTGGGATACCATCTGGGCCTGCTGCCTTTCCTTCCTTGAGAAGATTGATAGCTTTTCTAATTTCCTCTTTAGATTTTATCTCACAGTTGATATCCAGTACTATTTCTAAAGGCTGGAAGTCAGGAGTAACCTTTGGGGCTGGTCTATTTAGAAGCATTTCAAAATATTCCTCTCATCTGTCCATTTGATCTTTAGTGTTAGTAAGTACCTTTCCTTGACTATTTTTGATTGATACAGTTGGCTGACTATATTTACCTACTAATTTTCTTGTGTTACTGTAAAGTTCTCCGAGGTTTCCTTTCTCGTAATTTTTTTAAAAATCTGCACTTCACAATACACACCAGGCAAGGGACAGTTGAAAAAAATCCCAGATATAATCCGCAGCGCACAGTGTCACATCATACACTCATATCAGTAGTGACAAGTGTATATTACGGAACTATACATTATCTGTTCACGTATGGGCAAAATGTAGTGGCTAACCACAGTGAGAAACAAATAACTTGCCATAACCACACACACACACAAACAAACAAACAAACAAATGGTTAGCCCATCTTTTTGCAATATTGAACACATTACGGAATAAAGGTGGAGGAACAAATGTTTGCTGTTGCTGTCTGTTGTTGTTGTTACCTGTTGTTGTTATTACCTGTTGTTGTTGTTGTTGCAGGATTGAGGACTATTGGTGTGATAACCAAACTGGATCTGATGGATGATGGGACTGATGCCAGAGATATTTTAGAGAACAGATTGTTGCCTTTGAGGCGAGGTGAGTAGATAAACTGTTACCTTTGAGATGAGGTGAGTAGATAAACTGTTACCTTTAAGACGAGATGAGTAGATAAACTATGAGATAATTGTGGTGGTAGTAATTTTTCTCAACATCGTCATGTGCCATGCCCATAAGCATGGGCAAGCATGGTTCATAATCACCAGTCTCACATCATATCTTTTGTTACTTGTTATCTTGGGACATATCTTGTAACTATCTGTGTGGGTTCCTGACTAGGACATATCTTGTATCTGTGTAGCTTCCTGACTGGGACATATCTTGTAACTATCTGTGTAGGTTCCTGACTGGGACATATCTTGTAACTATCTGTGTAGGTTCCTGACTGGGACATATCTTGTAACTGTCTGTGTAGGTTCCTGACTGGGAGATATCTTGTAACTATCTATGTAGGTTCCTGACTGGGACATATCTTGTAATTATCTGTGTAGGTTCCTGACTGGGAGATATCTTGTAACTATCTATGTAGGTTCCTGACTGGGACATATCTTGTAACTGTCTGTGTAGGTTCCTGACTAGGACATATCTTGTAACTATCTGTGTAGGTTCCTGACTTCCTGGAACATACCTGATAACAATTGTAGGCTGTGTTGAGGGGAACCACTGTGGTGGTATGTTGTTTTTCTGAACATTATGTGCCATGCAGATAACCATAGGAACTTGGTCTCTTGCCAACACCTGCATCTTATGCACTATCTTATCCAAGGTGTCTCCCACATCTTGTGCCCACATTCATGCCGGTCATCTCTTGCCATTCTTTCTCATAGCCATGCCCCCATTGCTGTTCTTTTCAAGCAATCATAATGTTTTACATGGCCAAAGTACAGCAGTCCCAAATCATTTGTTTTAATTTTTACAAGCTTTTATAAGGTTCGTTTTTTTTTTGTCTGGTAAAGTTTTAGCGTTCAGTTTGTTCATTTACTTCCAGGAACATTCCTAATACCCATTGTCGGCTGAATGGACATGAAAGCTCAGTGCAGTTTGAAATATCAACCTCTCCGGGGATTCAGATGCAAGACTAGTGGGCTGGTCAGATAGAATGCCTGCCATTTTATTATCACAGCTCCCTGAACAGTTGCTCCTTTCTTAAACATATACAGGTTGATATATAAAGGTTAAGAGTGTCCTTGAGATATTTTCCATAGGGTATGCTGGTGTGTTGAATGTTGAAAGAATGTTGAATGTTGAAAGAATGTTGAATCGACGTCATAGCACACGGGACACTCCCATAAGCTGTTGTGGTGAGAAAAGTAAAAGGCAGACAAATTGTCTGGTTTTGCCCAACTTGGTAGTGAAGAAAAACAAAGATAATGCATACAAACAAAACTACCATGGAGAAGGAAATATATGTTAATGAGGAAAGATTGGAAGTGGTGGACAATTTCGAATATCTTGGGTCACAGGTTACCAACAATGGTGACACAATGAAAGAAATTAAACGGCGACTATCAAATGCTCTTCAAAGACTAAAACAACTGAATAAATTATGGAATTGTACAGATAGAATTACAAAGGTAAGATTTTTAAGAGCATGCATCTTTCCCATTGCAACATACGCCTGTGAGACCTGGACACTTACTAAACAAGCGGAACAGCGCATAAATGCATTTGAATATAAATGTTACAGACAAGTTCTAAGAATATCTTGGGTAAAGAAAAGAACAAATGCATCCATACTTCAAGAGCTGAATATTGAAGAGGGTTGGCTAGTAAAGACAATAAAACAAAGAAAATTGAAATATTTTGGTCACTTGAAACGTCATGGAAGTCTAGAGAGAACAATAATGGAGGGGTATATGCCTGGGAAGAGAGGAAGAGGAAGGCCAAGGAGAAGATGGGTGCAGGATGTGGCAGATGATCTCCAGATGGGTGTATCAGACGCAGGACATCTTGCTCATGATAGGAAGGTTTTCCGGAGGGTTGTTATGGCAGCGAGGTTCCGCGAGGGACATGCTACTGAATGAATGAATGGTAGTGAAGTGATGCACAACAAATTAGATGAGGTCAGAACCTGTTGGGAGCAAGTGAACAATGCAAAAGAGTGAATTGATGATCGTGATTTTGGAAGAATGTTCAGGGAGTCACTTGTTCACTTGAAGGAACAAAGAAGACGTAGTAGAAGAAGAAGAAGAAGGATCAGATGGAAGAAGAACAAGAAAACTATGAAAGTCAGCTAATTAAATCAAAGTTTATTTTCTGCTTAATTCTTACAGGTTATATTGGTGTTGTAAATAGAAGTCAGAGGGATATAGAAGGCCGCAAGGATATACGGGCAGCCCTTGCAGCAGAGCGGAAGTTTTTCTTGTCTCATCCATCATACAGGTGATTCATACATAGGTTGTTTCTTAATATATCACACAGGTGATTTTTACACCAAATGTTTCATAATATATTATACAGGTGATTCAGACATCAGTTGTTTCATAATATATCAGACAGGTGATTCATACATGAGTTGTTTCATAATATATCAGACAGGTGATACATACATCAGTTGTTTCATAATATATCAGACGGGTGATTCATACATCAGTAGTTTCATAATATATCAGACAGGTGATACATACGTCAGTTGTTTCATAATATATCAGACAGGTGATTTATACGTCAGTTGTTTTATAATATATCAGATAGGTGATACATACATCAGTTGTTTCATAATATATCAGACAGGTGATTTATACATCAGTTGTTTTATAATATATCATACAGGGGATTTATACATCAGTTGTTTCATAATATATCAGACAGGTGATACATACATCAGTTGTTTCATAATATATCAGACAGGTGATACATACATCAGTTGTTTCATAATATATCAGACAGGTGATACATACATCAGTTGTTTCATAATATATCAGACAGGGGATTTATACATCAGTTGTTTTATAATATATCAGACAGGGGATTTATACATCAGTTGTTTCATATTAAATCATACGGGGGATTTCTACATCAGTTGTTTCATATTATATCGTACAGGTAATTCATAATACAGTATACAGGTGATTCATACATTAGTTGTTCTACAATATACCGGTGATTCATACATACATTTTTTTTATATTATATCATACAGGTAATTCATACATCAGTTGTTTTATACAGGTAATTCATACATCAGTTGTTTTATAATATACAGGTGATTCATACATCAATTTTTAAATATTATATCATACAGGTGATTCATACATCAGTTGTTTTATTATATACAGATGATTAAAACATCAGTTTTTTTATATTATATCATTCAGGTGATTCATACGTCAATTTTTTAATATTAAATCGTACAGGTAATTCATACACCAGTTGTTTTACAATATACAGGTGATTCATACATTAGTTGTTTTATTATATGCAGATGATTCAAATATCAATTTTTTAATATATCATACAGGTGATTCATTCATCAGTTGTTTTATTATATCATCATCATCATCATCAGGTGCCTTGCCGACTGGCGTGGACGATCATGTCTCTCCATATTCTGCGATCTCCTGCAGCATGGATCAGTTCGTGTGCCGACACACCTCAATGCCATGCAGCAAGACTGTCAAGCATCATCTCTCGTTGTCTTCCTCTATCTCTTCTTCCACATATCTTTCCAGTGGTCACAACATGTCTCCTTCTGATTATTATATGCAGATGATTCAAACATCAATTTTTTAATATTATATCATACAGGTGATTCAAACATCATGGACTGTCGCTTGGTTAATGAGTGCAGTTTGTGCATAGTTACCTGGGGTTTCATTATTGGAACTATGGTGTTCATTTTGTGTGTGCTGCTGGTGGCAGGGGTAAGCCATTCTGTGGAGAGAGAACCGTATGGGATAAAACAAAATGCAATGAAGCGGAAATTCTTGACTTTAAACATACACATTTTCTTGCTCTGTATTCTCTCTCTCTCTCTCTTGTCTTTCTGTCTGCCTCTCTTCCTTTGCCCCCATTTCTGTTACTCACACATCTTTCTGGTTTTCTGTCAAACACACATCTCTTTCTGTTTCTCTATTGTCACCGCACAAAATGCATAGCACTTTCATTAGCGCTTACAGTTTAAACCAGACAGCATTCTGTAATTTTTTTGTTTCCCCCTGTCCCTTAAGGCACATGGCAGACCGACTGGGTACACCTTATTTACAAAAAGTTCTCAACCAGCAGTTGACCAACCACATCCGCGACACTCTGCCAGCCCTGCGAAACAAACTGCAGACACAGCTGCTGTCCATGGAGAAAGAGGTGGAAGAGTACAAGAACTTCAGACCAGATGACCCAGCCAGGAAGACAAAAGCCATGATGCAGTGAGTCCCTTGCTTCTCTTGTGAACTAATTCGTTTTTTTTTTTTTTTTTTTTTTTTCAGCCTTTTTTTTTTAAATCGTTTTTCAGACTGTTTTTCTGACTGACTGACTGACTGACTTTCTACCCCACCAGGACATCACACAAGCGATAAACACCCGATGACACTAAGTGCCACCATGCGGATGAGGATCACCGTGGAGAGGTCCCAGAAACCGCGTCCAGACAATTGGCCATATCGATGGCCTGCCTATATTGCGGCCCCTGGCAAAACCAGAGTGGGGCTTCAAATAACAAAAAATTACGTCCTAAGAAGGACGTAGTGTATCGTATATGATCATGACTGTTTTTCTGTACTTTGTTGATTTTTAAGCTGTGCTGAAAAAAAAATTTTTTTAAAGTAATTTAATTTTTTTGAATTTTAATGTTAATTTTTTGTAAATGTTATTTGCAATGGAGATTTGTGTCATTACTTTTACTTGTCTAATTTTAATATTGTTTTTTCTTATATATGTTATTGTCTTTAGTATTATTTTCTGGTATATGTTATTTACTGGCTAATAAACAGCATCTTGTCTCGGAAGCTGAAATATTTTGGTCATGTTAAGCGCCGTGGCGGATTGAAATTTTTTTTTTTAGCAGAAGGCATGTTACCAGGAAGGAGAGGCAGGGGCGACCAACACGAAGATGGGCACAGGATATAAGAGACTCCTTGAGTTTGAAAGTACATGAGGTGGGAGAGCTAGCGAGGGATCAAGATACTTTTAGGCAGACCAATGAGAGCAATGTTCTGCAAAGGACCTGCTACATGATGATGATTTTGCAAAATTTTATGTTTTATGTTCTTTATTACGTTGGCTCTGTGGCTAAGTCGATGCGAACGCTTCGTAATGCTGAGAGGCCGGTTTTGATCCCAGCTGCGGGCCATGCGCCTTGCGTTGGTTTTGACAGTGGTATCAAGAAAGCCGACCATCCAGAAAGCAATGACAAACTACTGGACATAAATTTGCCTAGAAAAACCACTCAACAGCCAGGGGCTATTGGGGTTGGTTTTGCAACGTCCTGTAAAGGATACGCAACTAACCTATCTGTTCTTTATTATATTACAATTTCATTTTTGCAAAACTTTTTTCAAGCATGTGATATTTTATGGAAGTTCATATTTTAATTATATATTCATTTTATTTTTTTCTATATAAAATTTTTAAAATTTAAAATAATGTTGTCTCTTTTTATTGTGATGCTCATTTTTGACCGCTCTTTGCCATTGTAAATTATCACAGTTTTCTCTGCTGTATCAGCAAGGAGATTCACTGTAGCACAGTGGCTAGATGCTTGCCTTTCAACCCAAAGTCTTGGGTTTGAATCCACAGTGTGTTGAATCTGGTCCCCCTGGCATAAAATGAGTACCTGGAAATATCATAGGAAACAAATGTGGTCAGCACAATGTTTGCTGCATCCCCTGTAAAGGAGCTGTTGGTTCAGAACTTGTGAGGCTAGTGGCATAAGCACACTGCACCACTGTTCTGAAAAGGGTTCATTATTTTGTTGCTTTGACATCGACAGAATGATATCTCAGTTCAACACAGACTTTGAGCGAGACATTGAAGGTTCTGGTGCCCATGTTTCCACTGAGGACCTGTCGGGTGGTGCCAAGATCAACAGGCTGTTTCATGAAAGGTTTCCATTTGAACTCGTCAAGGTTTGTTCATATATATATATTGTTAACAGTTCATTACAACAATGTTTGACATCTTTGGCTTAGTGGTAATGTATGCAGTTATATAATTCCAGCATTTCTGGTTTAGTTCGGATGTGGCCGATGTGGCAGCAGACAGCTTGGGATTGATTTCAACAACAATGTGAGTGTTAGCTGAAGATACATATGACTGAGCCAGGGCTGTTCAACTGGCGGCCCACAGGTTAAACTGGGCCTAGCACGTGGCCTACTGATCATGCCCAGCTGTATCATATTAATGATCTGTCTGTGTTGGAACTGGGGCCTTTGACAATCCCCATTGTCAAAATTGTGGCCTCATAGTTAACTGAGTTGAATAGACGTGGGCTAGACAGAGAGACTTTCAGGCCTGCAACGTTCTGTAAAGAGCCTGTTGATTGATAGTGATGAGTGTCGAACCATTCAGAGTGCAGTGACAAACTACTAAATGTAAAATTGCCTGTTAGAAGTACAAACAGCCAACATAAATGTAGGTTGTTTGTGTGTGTTTCCTGTACAGGAAATGCAGCCAACAGTTTTTAATAAGGATAATCTGTATATTTATTAAGGAATTCTGCAAGAGAACAATCGTGGAAACAAATGATCATTTATGCTAGTTAGCAAGATACTTCTGTTTTTCTCTGCTCCTGGATTTCCTTGCAACATCAGGGTAAAAGAGATCTCTGGAACTCACCCTTCTGTTCGCTTCCTGTATAGTACTTTTTGATGTCTTTGATACCACTTCATCTGTTGTCTACCACTTGGTTCTGTGCTGACCTTCCACCTGATATCATCATTCCTCTGTCAATCTTTCCTTATTACACCTTGTTGCACAGTGCGTAAGACACTTCATTGCAATTATAATGAGGAATTTACTGTTTCACACTCTTCAGAACTAGATTTAAATAATCATACATATTTATTAAAACTTGTTTCTTCTTCTTCGCAATTTCCGAATGTAGACTCTGGCAGTAACACCAGTTTAGGTGTTCATCCACTTCTGAACTTTAGTCTTGGTCCAGAACTTGAGTTTTGCATGCACATCTGTTTTACACATCTGGCTTATTTGTATGCAGACCATTGATTTCTTATCTCTCAGGAAGATGCACTTTGACTTTGAAGTAACACTCTTGTTGTTAAAGAAACAACACTTCTCAAAGATTAAATTTCAAAAATCATAAATATTTTTTAGGATTTATTCATTTTTTGAAGAAAAATCACAACTTTCAAAGACTGGGTGTTTATTTCAAACATGATTGTTGTTCTTAATGACAAGATCACAAAAAGTAAATGGATTTGATGAAAAGTAATTGGAATATATTCTTTTGAAATTGTATAAAAACAAATTGTTAAAATACTGCTAATTTCAGATGGAGAGTGATGAAAGAGAATTGCGGCGGGAAATTGGAATTACCATTACAAATATCCATGGTATAAGGTGAGTCATTAGAACAATTGTGCTCTTTCAATAGCAGAAGGTTATGGCAATGAATTTCTGACATGTTTTTTGTCCCTCTCTGTGGTTGTACATTCTGACAGACTGTCATTCACCTCTTTATCCACATTGTTTTTTACTACATATGTCATCGTCTACTTCTTTCTTTCTTTTGACAATGTTGCCCCAAGGAGCTGCAAAACTGACATCTTAGATTCTCTGTAAAAGCTGCTTACCTGCTGTTTGAGGTGACGTGATAACGAGACGCTTAGTTAACTTGATGTGCTATATTCACACCTGCACAGTGTTAAGGAGGTCAGGATATGAATACATTCACTAAAAATATCATTGAGGGGAGTTTTCTTGTGAACCAAATGGCCTTTTTTTCCCCCAAAGCTAAGTTGACGCTACATTTTTTCCTGGCTTCTGTGGTTAGAGGTCACGGGGTCATTAGTTGAGCCACCTGATACATATTTTTCAAGTCACTGGGAAATGTATTCCAATTAATGCTTCACTCAGTTCGTAGTTATTGATAAGTGAATTTATGTATCTTGTGTATACTTTGAAAGGAAAACTTAAAATTGTAAATAAACACATTTGACACATTTATTTGTGACCTATGTAAAAATTATTTTTTTAAAGACATTTTTCTGGAATTCCTAAGGGTTCATGGCTCATTTTTTTTTTTTTTTTACCTAGGCGAGAGGGTTACATTTTTGTGTTTATTGTTACCTAGGTGAGAGGGTTACATTTTGGTGTTTATTGTTACCTAGGCGAGAGGGTTACATTTTTGTGTTTATTGTTACCTAGGCGAGAGGGTTACATTTTGGTGTTTATTGTTACCTAGGCGAGAGGGTTACATTTTTGTGTTTTTTGTTACCTAGGCGAGAGGGTTACATTTTTGTGTTTATTGTTACCTAGGCGAGAGGGTTACATTTTTGTGTTTATTGTTACCTAGGCGAGAGGTTTACATTTTTGTGTTTATTGTTACCTAGGTGAGAGGGTTACATTTTTCTGTTTATTGTTACCTAGGCGAGAGGGTTTCATTTTTTTTGTTTATTGTTACCTAGGCAAGAGGGTTACATTTTTTGTGTTTATTGTTACCTAGGCGAGAGGGTTACATTTTTCTGTTTATTGTTACCTAGGCCAGAGGGTTACATTTTTGTTTTGTTTATTGCTACCTAGGCAAGAGGGTTACATTTTTTTGTTTATTGTTACCTAGGTGAGAGGTTTACATTTTTGTGTTTATTGTTACCTAGGTGAGAGGGTTACATTTTTCTGTTTATTGTTACCTAGGCGAGAGGGTTTCATTTTTTTTGTTTATTGTTACCTAGGCAAGAGGGTTACATTTTTTGTGTTTATTGTTACCTAGGCGAGAGGGTTACATTTTTCTGTTTATTGTTACCTAGGCCAGAGGGTTACATTTTTGTTTTGTTTATTGCTACCTAGGCAAGAGGGTTACATTTTTTTGTTTATTGTTACCTAGGCAAGAGGGTTAAATTTTTTTTTTTGGGGGGTGTTACCTAGGCATATGTGTATACACATTTTTTTAAAATACACGCACACACACATAAATATATGTGTGTGTGTTTTAAAAAAATGTATATTCAGTTCTAATCTTCTCTATAACTTCTGTATTTGTTTTCCAGAAATGGTACATTTTCTTTTTTTCCACACATTTACTTTCTTTTTCTACATCTTTTTCATTGTTCATCTAACTGATGTAAAATTGCTTTCAAATTGCTTCTACTTAATACCTGCAATATTTGTATTTGTTTTCTGAGTTACTCTTTTGTTAGTTTTATGGAACATTTTGGGCTGTTTCAGTTTGTTTGATGACTTCATCACCTGATTTTTCAATTGATTTTATTTCAGTGAAAATGTAAAACAAATTGTATATCACCTCTATCAATTTATTTGTTTATATTATCTTTTTTTTTTTTAATCATCTTAAATGTTTATATTATCTGTTTCTGTAATTGTGTGTGTGGATATTATTGTTATCTTTATAATCCTTTTGTGGTTATCTTTGTCTCAATGTTTCTTTTAGGACCGGCCTGTTTACTCCAGATATGGCTTTTGAGAATATAGTCAAGAAGCAGATACAGCGACTCAAAGAGCCGTCTCTACAGTGTGTGGATCTAGTTGTCACAGAGCTTGCTAGTGTCGTCCGCAAGTGTACAGAGAAGGTAATACTTCATCAGGAACATCATCATCATTCTTCTTACACTTCCTTTTCTTTTCCTCCTACTCCTCCCTTCCTTCCTTTCTCCTCCTCCCCATCCCCACTCCCCTCACCTCACTTAATTGTTGTGGAGGGGGAGTGTCATATGTGTGTTTATTTATTTAAGGTTCTTGACACTATTGTTCTGACTTTCCCTGGTGGTCTTTCCCTTTCTGTTCTTCTTCCTTAGTAAACTCTGGTGAAAAATGTGCATTGTTCATCCACTTCTGGACTTTTGTCTTGATCCAGAACGTGAGATTTTCATCCACATCCATTTTACATATCTGGATTATTTGTATGCAGACTGTTGGTTGCTTGCCTCTCAGGCAGATGGACTCTGACCTTGAAAGAAATGCCTCTAATCAGTCACCTCCTGCGACATGTTTGGGATCTTTTGAAACTACTACGGTTTATAATAGTTAGAAATGTGCACATTCCAATGCTTGTATCAAATATTCTTGATGATGTTGATAATGTTTACTATTACCTGATGTATGAATGAAATGAGATAAGGAGGTAGGCCTCGAAGGACAGAATGTTAGACGGGCCTGCATGCCCAATTCTTAACCCTTTGAAAATAAAGTTTGTTTGTTCGTTCGTTCGTTGTTTTTTAGGGGGTAGTGCATCTATTATTTGTTCTCCAGAATGGATCCTGGAATCCAAACTAGGATTTCTGTTTATGATCCTTCAGCGTGGCTCTCTCTGGCAGTTCATACAAGGGTTTGCTTGTCAGATGGCCAAACCATCCCGTGTTGCTTTTAAATGAATGAGTTGTTATCATTATTTATACAGTTTTAAAACCAAGTAATTTTTTTTTTAAGTTATAACATTTTGTCATTTTTATTGTATTCAGTGAAAGCTGGAGAACTATTAAAGACATGGGATTAAATGTCAGTGCATTCATATTTTTGGTCTTCTGCCTTCGCACTGGGGTCCAGTTGTGTGGAGGGAGGGGGGGGAAGTGAAAAGGGAAAACTAGACCCACTGTGTCCCAAACTCTCAAGCATGTTGTAAAAAAATAGCGACTAATTTGGTTTGTTTGCGTGCTAAATCAGATGTTTTTAGGCCCAAAGATGCGGATTGTGCAACTTAGCTGTAAATCCATAAAACAGTATGCCAGCTGCTCATATAAACGTGGACAGGAAGAAAAAACTGTCATATATTATTATGTTTTATATGTGACTAATAATTTTTTAAATCTTTATTTCATGTTTTTTTTTTATAAGACCATTTTAGATGACCATTCTTATTTCCTCATGGAATAGGTCTCTGTAGTACTTTTCTATTCCTTTCTATTTTATGATTTTTTGTTTCTCTTTTATATCCAGTTGCTTCTTCTCCTCTTCGTCTTCTTCCTCCTTGCCATCTTCTTCTTCTTCTAATTCTTCTTCTTCTTCTTTTTTTCTTCTTATGCCCTCTATCCTTTAGTGGATCATGGCCCTCAACCAACTCACAGCAAGTCATCTTATCCTTTGCTGTCGCATGCAGCTGCCCCATGTCCTCCCCATCTTTTTCACTTCAATCTCTAGCTCCCTTCTCGGTGTGTTCTTTAGTCTGCCTTTATTTCTGTGCCCCTGTTGGTTCCATTGTAAAAACAGTCTAGTTATAGTGCTGCTCCGGTGTGTTTTATCGTTGACTGTTTTTCTTTGTGTAATCAAGGGATCATAATTTTTTAATCCAGATGAACCGCTATCCTCGGCTGAGAGAGGAGACTGAGCGTATTGTCAGCACCAGGATAAGGGAGCAGGAGCAGGTCACCAAAGAGCAGATCAAGCAGTTGATTGACATCCAGCTGTCCTACATGAACACCAACCACGAGGATTTCATTGGCTTTGCCAAGTCAGTTTTTCTTTTCTTCTTCTTATACACAATTACAGTTGGGGGAATCTTCATTTCATCCCAAATTGCTGTGTCTCATACCCACAGAATGGCTAGCTCCCTGTTAAGATTGCAGACAACTTACCAAACATTTCAGGAAGGTAGACTAGGGTCATCAATTTATAGTCACATTATGAGAATAAAAAACTTATAGCTTGTGGAAACTGCAAAGTTTTATTGAAAGAGAGATAGAGGAAGAAGACGAGAGAAGACCCTTAACAGCCTTTTATCGTATTGGGGAAGCCGCAGTAGTATGGTCACCAGCTGGCCCGAGGGTCTAGGGTTTGAATCTGCATTGCAGTTTCTTTAAAAATTGACCTTATCTGTCAGATGAACTGAATAAATAAAAATTGACCTTATCTGCCAGATGAACTGAATAAATTATGGAATTGGACAGACAGAACCAAAAAAAAATTTGATTTCTAAGAGCATGCATCTTTCCCATTGCAACATACGCCTGTGAGACCTGGACGCTTACTAAACAAGCTGAACAGCGCACAAATGCCTTTGAATACAAATGTTATGGACGGGTTCTAAGAATATCATGGGTAAAGAAAAGAACTGAATACTGAAGAAGGTTGGCTATTAAAGACTATAAAACACAGAAAATTGAAATATTTTGGTCACTTGATACGTCACAAAAGTTTGGAGAGAACAGTAATGGAGGGGTATATGCCTGGGAAGAGAGGAAGAGGAAAGCGAAAGAGATGATGGGTGTAGGATGTGGCAGATGATCTCCAGATGGGTTTATTAGACGCAGGACATCTTACTTGTGATTGAAACATTTTTCTGGAGGGTTGTTATGGGAGCAAGGTTCTGCAAATGACATGCTACCGACTGACTGAATGACTGACTGACTGACTGCTGGGTCACCCTGCCTGAAATTGGCATCAGGTAATGTCCTGGGAAGCAAATCATGGTCGACACAATGCTGACCGCATCATCCCCCTAGTTCAATAAAAAAAACAGAGTTAGCCAGATGTGAGTCATATACTGGCAAAAAATGGTTCTGTTACTTTATGAGGGAAGGATGTCAGCTCATCAGTTGTTACTTTATGAGGGAAGGGTGTCAACTCATCATCTGTTACTTTTTGAGGGAACGATGTCAGCTCATCAATTGTTACCATCTGTTGGAGAAGCTTAATCATCCCTGCCAGTTGGCCATGCACTTGTTTATGTTCAGTTGCCATTCTTTTGCTGTCATCTTCCCACTTCTTCCACATCTCCTTCCATTTCTTCTTCTCCTCCTTCTCCCATGGTCTTCTCATTATGAGGAACAGAGGGGATTTAGTAAATTTACTAGTAAAGAATGATTAATTGTTAATTTATGTTTCAGCGCTCAGCAGAAGTCGGAGAACACGAACAAGCGGAAACTTGGAAACCAAGTGAGTATCCTTGCCTTTTCTTTATGTTTTTTTTTTCAGCAAGTATTACTCTGTTGATTAATAACAAATTTAAAACTAAAGGATGGTTCAAGTTCATGCCTTTTCTTTGTGTGTTATTTTTTTTTTTTTTTTTTTTTTTTTTTTTTTTTTTGGTCAATTTGTGTTTCTTTTTTTTTGTCAACAACTATAACTGTATTTGAACAGAGAAGACACAAAAAATAGATTGAACAATTTAATACCCGTCACCTTTCGCTGTATCTTGTCAGGTGCACGCTACAGTAACAATTGATTAAAATTTATTTGCTTCATTTTATTCAGTTGTAACTGTAGTTTGCACCTGACAAGATATAAATATGCCAGGCAATAAATTGTGCAATCTATTGTTTTTATCTTCTCTGTTAAAATTCACAACGGGGAAACATTGCTTTGATTTTCTGAAAATATTACTATGGTGGTTAATAATAACATTGAAATCAACTGAGTGTTCTTGTCTTTTTTTTTTTTCAATTTAAATGTTTTATGCTTCGTTTTTTTTTAACAGTATGACTCTGCTCTCAAAAAAATATAAAGGTACCTTTTCTTGCCATTGAAGCCTGGCACATATGATGTCAAACACATTTATATAGTTCAGTCGACACACTTCTTCTTCACTTCCTCTTTTACCAGTTTGGGTGTTAAGGAAGCTATCAGGTTCTGCTTCTCGCTTATCTGACTCCTACCGACCATAGACACATCATGCTTTTGTAGAGTTTCTCTGATGTTATGTGTGAAAGCTGGTGTTATGTTGACCATGTCAGCCATCTATTGCTGATTGGTCTATACAGTATAGGTCTAGCCCTATGTGCCCAATACGACTGACGGCGTGGAAAAGGATCCTTTTACTTTTTTTATGTCTTGAGGAAAAATAAAAAATGAATTGTAAATATGAGTTGATGTTTTGAGGAATTTTTCACCTGCAGTCATAATGCTTTGTTTCCTGACAGGTAATCCGAAAAGGTTGGCTGTCATTACACAATGTTAGCTTCATTAAAGGGGGCTCGAAAGACTTTTGGTTTGTGCTGACCGCTGAATCGTTATCCTGGTACAAGGATGAGGAGGTAAGTCTGCTGTTACATTAATACAAAATTTAGATTTATCTCCCTTTACTAGGAGCCATTTAACAGTTTCATGATCCAGTTGACAACCACTTTGCTAAACAACTGAAGATCTGCAGGAGTAAACATTCAATAGGATTATTAGGAAAGATTCCGAGATTTGATTTGTTTTACCTGTCTGGGTGTTAGATGACATAAAATTTATGGTGCGAGTATCACATTTTCCTTCACTGAAAAGAATACGGAGTAAATATGTGCTTTCAAGAATGCTTTTCAGACTAGATAGATTGCTGTGTTATTATTCGTTGCTTTTTCAAAGATTTACTTAACTTATTGGTGAATAAAGAGTTCATAGTTCAAAAACAACAACACAGCACTTGAAGCATTTCTGTAAATGCTCCAGTCCATCTTCACCAGCCAGCACAGTGGGAAGAAAGATGAAATTTTTTAAAAAGGAAATGAAATGAGGTATATCAGAAAGGTGGTCCAACAGACAAGAAGGGATAGAATTCACAATCAGATAATATGTCATGACCTTGAAACTCAAGCCCTACAAACTCGAGTTGATCAGTTACTAATGAACTGGACATGTTTGCAGAATAGAGGATAATTTGCCACCAGGGCAGGCATGCGAGGCCAAGAACCAGGGAACCAGACAACCCAAAACTCGCGAAGTTCAACATTCTGTGTTTCCTGACAGACAAAGGAGCGAAATGGAACTAAGCCAAAAAGACACCTGCTGTTAGAGAAGTCTGGCTATATCTCTGGCAAACCTCTATGTCCCAGGGTAGAAAAAGAGTGACTGGCGGTCTCTCTGGCAAACTTCTATATTCCAGGGTAGAAAAAGAGCTACCGAGCATAGAGAAGTTAGCGCGGAGCCGTGTTAGCACAGTCAATAAGAGGCTATCTTTCAAATCCAGCTGCGACTCGCTGCAGCCCACGGTCAGCGAAAACAGGCCCCTCCCGGGGTTCACCCAGCCTCTAGGAAATGGGTACCTGAGTTGACACTCTGGGGTAAATAGAGGAACAACACTGTAGCTACAGAGTTACGTGCGAACAGCGACACAGGCGGACAATTCTTATCAGCTGTCCGTACTGGTGGCAGAGCACTTATGGTTTATAGCTGTGTGCAATGACTCTGGTTCACATCTCCCGACTTTACCTTTATAGTAAAGTTTTGAAAAAAAAATGGGTACATAGATGCTGAACTACATATGCACCAGGACTAGGGTCCATACTGGTTAACACCTGCCTACACCTCTTTGTGGGCATCCTGTAAACAGGTTCCCAGCGAGGAGCCTGATCTCTCTTTCTCTCTCTCTTTCTTTCTCTCTCTTTCTCTCTCTCTCTCTCTCTCTCTCTCTCTTTCTTTCTCTCTCTCTCTCTTTCTCTGTGTGTGAGCGTGCGTGCCCGCGCACAATTGTTTGTTTGGTTGTTTTTGTTTATTCATTCATTTGTTCTCTCATTCTCTCTCTCCCCATCTGTGTGTGCATGTGTGTGTTTGTTTGTTTTCATTTATTCTTTTGTTTTCTCTCTTTCTCTCTCTCTCCCTCTCTCTCAGTACATGTCCATTTGTTTATTATATACTATAGTATGTAGTGTTTGGATTCACTGCATCCTTCAGGATATCTCTATACTCTCTTTGTCTTTATACTGTTATTCTCACCCACATAGGACATCCAGATACATCAGGGTAGCTCTTTGTGTAGATGTTACAGTTGCTCCTAGTAGGTCTAATGGGCTATCTAGAATTCACTCTGATGGATTAGTATCCAGGATGCAACTGTTCACTAACAGCCCAAAAGGATACAGTCTATCAGTAGTAATTTATAGACTGCCACGGCTTCCCCCATGTAGGGCCCATCCACGTAAGACAAAAATGTGGCCCCTAACAAGTCTGTTATAAAAGTTGACTAATTAAGGGTTTCCCTCAGAGTACATCTATCTGAGAGGTGAGGGACCACCAGTCTACATACAAATAAGCCAGATCTGTAAAATGGATGTGCACACAAATCTCAAGTTCTGGAACAAGACTAAACTCCAGAAGTGAATGAAAACCCAAAACTGTGTGTCAGAGTTTACATCTGGCTAATAAAGAAGAAGAAGAAAAACTGAAATGTTACACACAAACTCTTAGGAACACTGAATCAAGAAGAAGAAGAAGTGACATAGTACACAAACTATACATTGAAGAAAACTACCATCATGAACAGCTTTTTGTCTCAGAAACCTGAAAACTTGACCATATTTATAGTTACCATGGCATGTAAGCACAGATACTGGAAGGCATAGAAGTGGACCAATAACCAGAGCTTTCTGCCCGAGTTCACACCTGGAAGTCTGCCACAGTTATCATATTTTCAGGGAAGGATTATTCAATCTGGAATTGATAATGAACTTTTAGAGAAAGTGAGCTAATCTAGTTGGATATAAGACATGTTATTTGTGAGGGAGCATTGGTCTTTCATGTGGGAACAGGACACATTTCAGACTGAAGGGAGGCAGGTAGAGAGAAAGAAAGAATATAAGACAGAAAATGAGAGATGGGCAGAAAATACATGAGTTAGAGAGAATGAGAGAGTGACATAATATGAGGTTGAAGAGAGACAAAGATAGATAGAATTAAACAGGAAATTAGATAACAGAGATTTAAGAGAGGATCAATGAATGAGGGATAGGATGAAGGTGAGACAGAATAGGTGGGTGGGGGAGGATGCGGTTGACATTTCAGTACTCAAGAGTAGATAAGTCATTGCCCACTGTTTTTGTAACAAGGTACGGGTGCTAAATGCTTTGATAGCACACTATTTGTTTATTTGTGCTCTTCCCTAAAGCCTGACCTTCTACAGAGCAACAGCAGAACTTGTATTCAACTAAAGAGAAATTTGTCGGCTATCCTCCGAATAACGGCTACATATTATGGCAGCCAAAAACACACCCTGACTGGGCCTCAGTCACATGTAAATTGCTGACGTCCAGCGACTTAAATTGCGGACTTCCAGCGACTACCGCCACCGCTGAGAGTATCTCCCGCGCCGCGCATAACTAGATGGCTGGAACTTACGAGCAGCAGCTTCCGCATCTCCTGCAGCTTTGCTCGTGAGTACCAGCCATCTAGTTTAGCTCCGCGCCGCGCGTAGTAGCGCGGGAGATACTCTTGGCGGTGGCGGCAGTCACTGGAAGTCCGCAATTTGAGTTGCCAGAAGTCCGCAATTCACATGTGACTGAGGCCCTGTTTTTGGCTGCCATAATTTGTGGCCGTCATTCGGAGGATAGCCAATTTGTCTATCCAATGTGTCAGTGTGCAATTTTGTCATCAGATGACATTTTGACATGTAATAATGCTGATCTATAGTGTAGTTGAGTTCTTTTTTTTTTAGTGAGCTATTTAAAAGGCATTTCACCCCTTCACCCCGCAAATGCTTAAAAAGATGTCATGAACCTGTGTCAATTCCCTCACATTAGCCTTTTAAAAAAAATCTTGTGGATCACTGATAAATGAAAAGAAACAATTTTTTTATCTTCGTTTTAAATTGTTTTTAATATATTTAAGGAAATATATATTTAAAAGACAATCAATAAACACAAAGAGAATGAAACATTAACATACCCTGGGCCCTTAAATCAATATGTGCCAGGTGATTCATGCCATGAGGCTTTCGGGAACATTTGAAATCAACTTGGCTTTAATAACATCATTGTGGTTGTATGGAAACCCCAAAATGCTATTTTTAGTGACCGTATTCGTAGCCTGTTCAACTCTACGCTGGCAAACATTAAATTGGTGAAATTTAACTATGCTTCTTGAGAACAGGTCACTGCAGGCAGGCTACATTTAGTCTTCTGGGGGCGAAGGTTGAAAGGGAAGGTTGGCATCATTCATCATCATCATCTTGTTGTTCTGTTATATGTCATATAGGGTTCGCTGACTAATCCTTGATTGCATTTTTTATGTGTGATGTGCAATTATTTGGATATGATGTGTGGAATACAGCACACATGGCTTTCCTCAAAAACATTTGTTGTCAAGTTTTTCTAGGACATCCTCACTTGTTGAATCTATTTGTATCCTATTTCAGTGCTTGTTTGGTGATTTTCTGCTCACTTTTACTTAATATATGCCCATTATACCACCATCTTCGCTATCTTGTAACTTCTACTGCTGCTGGTTGTACTGACTTCATTGCACCTGGTTTGATCCCGTATGGCTCAGTCTCTCTCTCTGCAGAGTGGCTGTTTATCTGCTGAGAGCATCACATACAACCTGAAATTTCGTAGCTCCTGCAGTGATCTCCAACAATCACCTGCATTCATGAACTGAAGGCCAGAGTCTGAAACGGAACCGTGAACTTTCAGAGCTCGTGGCAAAATGGATTAACAAATACACTATAAAGAAAATGTATCTTTATATATTCCTTTTGAAACACATTCTTTGTCTTCAGTGACTTCCCTAGAGATAGAAACAGAAGAATAGGTTGTATTTTATGGACAGAAACAGAAACAATAAAAAACAGAGCTTCTGGAGAGAGTGCAAGTAAAAAAAGAGTTACTATAAGAAATACAAAAAGACACACTTGAAATATTTTGGCCACATTAAAAAGACACAACGCTCTTGAAAATACCTACTGGAGGGAAAGGTCAAGGCCAAGAGAGCTAGATGAAGACAATGATACAAGTTGGAGGACAAAATCAAGAGATATATGAACTGCAGTATGAGAGTATGTACAACCAAGATAAGAGTCTGTAGATGACACCTGATTGATTGAGACACTGACATTTTGACAGCACAATCAGGATATGGAGGTACTGAACCACATGTGGTAGTGCACGAGAACCATGGCTGACACTGGTGAAGTCCTGCCTGTTATTCTTTGTGCTCATCTCAGAAATAGGGTTAAAGCTGGTAGCCTGGCCAACAGAGATAGGGTTGATGTCAAGCTTCTCTGCCTGAGAGGCAAGACACAGCAGTCTGCTCACAAATTAAGCCAGATCTGTAAAATGATTGTGCAGGCAAAACTCAAGTCCTGAAACTAAGCCAGAGTCCAGAAATGGATGTGGATGAACAAAAAGGAATTTACACAGGAGTTTAGAGCTGGTGAACGCTAACAAGAAGAAAAAGTTGACAGTCAGGCTAGCAACTGATTCCATTTACTGTACCCACACAGAATACTTGCTTTGTTTTCTGTGAATTTGATAAATGCAGAGTCCTTAATGTGGATGTTTAAATATTTGCTGGCTAATACAGGTCTTTCTTCTTTTCTTAAGTGAATTAATGTAAACTTTACACACATTACTCTGTTATCATCATCATCGTCAATTTCCACTTTTGCAATTGAGAGTTGTGGGAAGGAACAGTTTGCAATCCATTGCTTGATGGACAGCAATGGCTATTGTCATTCCATATCGATGTAGAAGCTCTTTAATATCATCAGTGCATTTTCTCCTAGGGCGAATCTGTTTCTTGGTGCTCATACGTATGTTTGGATGTCTTAATAATGGTGTCAGTTGGTATGTAAGTGCACTGGCTCACTGGCATTTTGTTTCTGTTTGCCGATCTCCCATCCGCTAAGAATATACTTCCTAGATATTTAAATTCTTTAACTTGCTTCAGACAAGTACCATTCAACCTGATATTTTCTCTGGAAAGTAAAGTTCCTCATTCTGTTATCAGTTTATGTTAACTCATTTTTATGTTTGGATAACTGTCTGTGAATGATTTAAGATATTTTTTCTAGCTAAGTTTTATTGTTTTCAATGTTTTCTTTATTGACACCACTTTTTTGCGATAATGTTTATTTTGTTCCTGTTAGTGTCTGTCAACTGTCAAGTTTCTCATTGACCCGTCACATTCATTAGCTGTGGACATCAGCTCGATAATGATGCAGTTAGTTATATATTTTCTAGTTTTCTAGAACTTCTTGATAAAAGGACTATTTTTATTTGTGAATATGCGCTTGTTTTAGTTTTCTGTGTTACTTTTGGCTGTAAAACATTCATTTTCATTTTTGTGTGCATCTGGTTGCATTTGTTGATATTGTGTATTGTTCTTGTAAGGATTTGCCAGCTAGTATGTTTTGTAAAACTGAAGTTTGAATAAAATCATGTTAAGAATCTGTATGGAGAAACAGTGTGTATGAATATTTTATATACTATGCTCTGATCTAATGCTGGAGATCCGGGTCGATCCTCGGTAAGTGAGAGATGGGGATTTGTTTCTGTCAGGAAGAAAATTATAAAAATGATACCACTAACCTGCACAGTTTGTAGCTGCTGCACTAACATTGCATTTCTAAATCCTCAGTCAGAAATTGTTTAAATATACTGTGCACTACAAACACATATATATGTTGGATGGAAATAGAACAAGAGGGAGACCAACAGAGGGACGGTGTTTTGAAGTTTTGCATCATGAGATGGACCAACAGGCGTGTTGGGCATATAGTGCTAGAACTTTATTTTATAAACCAGTTGGAACGTTTTGATGAAATCAGCATCGCACACTGGCCGCCTTCACTTCCCAGGACTTTACCTGATACCTGTTTAAGGCTGCCTGGGAAGCCAAGGCCATGTTTTTAAAAAAAAGTCATGCTCCATTTGGAAAGGAAATCGCAATCTGGCAAGTGACATGAAAGATGCAAGGAGACTGGCAAGTGACATGAAAGATGCAAGGAGACTGGCAAGTGACATGAAAGATGCAAGGAGACTGGCAAGTGACATGAAAGCATGAAAGATGCAAGGAGACTGGCAAGTGACATGAAAGCATGAAAGATACAAGGAGACTGGCAAGTGACATGAAAAATGCAAGGAGACTGGCTAGTGACATGAAAGCATGAAAGATGCAAGGAGACTGGCAAGTGACATGAAAGGTGCAAGGAGACTGGCAAATGACGTTAAAGATGCAAGGAGACTGGCAAGTGACATGAAAGATGCAAGGAGACTGGCAAGTGACATGAAAGATACAAGGAGACTGGCAAGTGACGTTAAAGATGCAAGGAGACTGGCAAGTGACATGAAAGATGCAAGGAGACTGGCAAGTGACATGAAAGATGCAAGGAGACTGGCAAGTGACATGAAAGATGCAAGGAGACTGGCAAGTGACATGAAAGATGCAAGGAGACTGGCAAGTGACATGAAAGATGCAAGGAGACTGGCAAGTGACGTGAAAGATGCAAGGAGACTGGCAAGTGACATGAAAGATGCAAGGAGACTGGCAAGTGACATGAAAAATGCAAGGAGACTGGCTAGTGACATGAAAGTTGCAAGGAAACTGGCAAGTGACATGAAAGATGCAAGGAAACTGGCAAGTGACATGAAAGATGCAAGGAGACTGGCAAGTGACATGAAAAATGCAAGGAGACTGGCTAGTGACATGAAAGTTGCAAGGAAACTGGCAAGTGACATGAAAGATGCAAGGAAACTGGCAAGTGACATGAAAGATGCAAGGAGACTGGCAAGTGACATGAAAAATGCAAGGAGACTGGCTAGTGACATGAAAGTTGCAAGGAAACTGGCAAGTGACATGAAAGATGCAAGGAAACTGGCAAGTGACATGAAATATGCAAGGAGACTGGCAAGTGACATGAAAAATGCAAGGAGACTGGCTAGTGACATGAAAGTTGCAAGGAAACTGGCAAGTGACATGAAAGTTGCAAGGAAACTGGCAAGTGACATGAAAGATGCAAGGAAACTGGCAAGTGACATGAAAAATGCAAGGAGACTGGCAAGTGACATGAAAGATGCAAGGAGACTGGCAAGAGATCACTAGTTTTCTGCCATTTAATGAGGAGAGCAATGGTAATTAGAAAGAACTACTTTAGTTAGCCTGAGTGCAACTGCCTGAAAGGGGAGGAACCAAAAGTCTGCATACAGATAAGCCATATCTGTAAAATCAGATGTGCAGAAAAAGCTAAAGTTTAGGAACAAGACCAAAGTGCAGAAGCAGCCAGTCAGTCAGAACTTTCTGCTGGAGTTTATAGCCATTGTACAGTACAAAAATGAAGAAGAAGAGGGTAGTAAGAAAAAACAGAACTTGTAAGACTATCAGATAAAAGTATGGCAGCAAAGGTCAAAGGACACAAACTTCTCTAAGGTGATACAGAAAAGAGCGGGATTAGGTATTATTTATATTAAGTTTGTATCAGTTGATTTCTTCTGTTCCATCTTTCTGCATACATTTTATTCATCCAGGAGAAGGACAAGAAGTATATGCTTCCTCTGGAAGGGTTGAAAATAAGAGACCTAGAATCCGGATTATTCTCTCGACACACCATTTTTGCTCTTTTCAACGCGGACAATAGGTATTTTCCATTGCAGACACTTATGTATTTGTCAACAGGTTTTTGGTTTATTGGCTTAAAAACAGATTGAAAACTTAATAATAATAAAAATAGAACTAGACGATTCAATTTTTACATAAAAAATAATAACCAAATTAACTATGACGAGTGCAAAACTATTTTTACTCTTTTTAATGCGGAAGTTATTTATTCTTTGTAGACCCTTAGATTTGTCAGCAAGCATTAGTTTATCAGCTTTAAAAAATAAATAATTATAAACAATTTTGAAAAAATCTACACAGCTAAATAGATTCATTTGAAATAGTAACCATGCTTGCTTTAGTTGTTAAAAAAGGTGGCATATTTAAGTTATATAGAAAATACACAGCTTTGAAATTAAAATTTAACCTCTCATCTCTCCCCACCCCTTTGTTTTTATAAACCCTAAATATATGTGTTTTAGTTATTGGTCATGGGTTATTTTATGGTTTGCCCCATTAGTGTTCTGAGTCTTGTGACTGGCATCCTTTGATGTAATCCCGTCATTAAAACAGCATGCATTGTTTGATTTCCGTTACATTTATTTGCATTTTGTGGGTTACCAGATTGTGAATATTGTACATTTGGGATTTTTGGGGCGTTAATTTTGTATTAACAGGGTTTGTAATTAAAAATTTGTTCTCAGATTTCTGTGTTTGTAAACGCATTTTTGGTGCTTTAATAATATCCTATCCCAAACAGGGGAAATCTACAGGTCACAGGACAGTCTAATATTTCAGGGGGTGGTAGATAGGCTGCATGTAGTTGTGAGACCTAGGCTGAATGCAGCTGAGAGACCTAGGCTGCACTTTATCGTGGGACGTAGGTAGGTTGGGGTTAGAGCCAGTTCTAGATGTTTTGGGGCTATTGAAAGTATCAGAAAGCCAGGAAACCCAGTCTTACCACCCTCTAAAATGTTGGACTGTCCTGTAACGTCATCTGGGGTAGGATATCACAAAAGAACCCATGTTTTTATAATTAATGGTCTTTTTTGTGGAGGATTTCTAATTGTTGTGTTTTACTCATCAGTTAGAATGTCCTCTACAGAACATCATTCTCATCAAAAAGATTCACTTTTCTCTAGCCAATTCTCAAGCCTTTTGTATCAGAGCAAGTTCTGTGTCTTGTATCCATTTTCACAGAGAACAGCCTCTGCCTCATTTCCCAGGAACTTTACCCACCTCTCCATTCTATGATGTCTAACATGGCCAAAAATACGTCAGCTTTCGGGGCAGGATGCTGGTTGTGAGCCAATTCTGTGTTAACTCTGTTGATATTATCAACAGCTTTTAATACATTTGCTTCATAGTTAGTGAGTCAACAGATTATCCTCATTGCACATCGAACCACTCAGTCCATAAGTGCTCGGATCCCCCCCTCAGTAAATCCCGCAGCGTGTAGCGGCTAACGACACCGGTTCTGTGTTGGTTTATTCTTCTTTGGCTACCCGAGTAGTGTTCTTGTTTGGCGACACCCCATTTAACATGTTGTTCTTGCAGTCTGACCATGGTTGCAGATTCACAGTTCTCAGATGGTTCACGCAAACGTCTTAACTCTTTTAGAGCATTCAGTATATCAGCCTGGTCCATGGGCTTGTCCCGCTTTCACAGTAGCCTCACCTGCAAGCCTATCAGCTTGCTCGTTTCCTTGCACCCCCACATGTCCAGGCACGAAAATGAAACTAATATTTTTTGCTCCATAATTAGCAACTGCAAGACAGTTTCAAAGATATCATTTGGCAAATTGGCTAAAGTAATTATGCAGTGTCTAAAGAACAAATGAAGATGTTTTAGCTTAAATAATTGCGGAACAGTTTTTGAGAATCCTGAATAGAGGAGAAGAAAATAGTGATTCTACAGTGTAAACATTAAAGAAAACTACCTTGTGGACAACGTTTTGTCTGGGAAACATGAACAACTTGGCCACATTAATATTCCGAACATCATCTAAGCACCGGTCATGTTATTTTGGAAGAAGTGGTATTGTACAGTTAACAAATCAAAGAATCCACTTCCTTACACCAGGTTTGATTCCATTTCGCTCAGTCTCTCTACAGAAAGAACATCTACCAAAAGCGTTGCACAAAGCACAAACTCCCTAGCTCCGGCTGCTATACCATAATGGCTCCCTGTTGTTGTAAACTATAGTGAAGATTGAGATAGTGTTGGGTAATTGTTTGTATCAGTGATATACTCTGGTGTTTAACCCTTATGTAGAATTTGTGACTATTGTCTCCTTGACTGTCAGTTGTTTAAATTTTGGGACTGTCATGGATTATAGTGACTGTCACATTTGTGACGTTTCTGTCGATGTTGTCTTACTGCGTTTATCACTTTGTCAGTATTGTGTTTAAATTATGATTACTTGTTATAAAACCACTCCCATGCAAGTTTCGGGGCTCCACGAGTTCAGGGGCTCCCGTACGAGTTCAAGACCTACCGTAAGAGTTCAGGAGCTCCCATATGAGTTCAGGAGCTCCGATATGAGTTCAGGACCTACCTTAAGAGTTCAGGAGCTCCCGTATGAGTTCAGGGGCACCCGTATGAGTTCAGGAGCTCCCATTTCAGGGGCTCCCATATGAGTTCAGGAGCTCCTGTATGAGTTCAGGGGCCTCCGTTTGAGTTCAGGGGCTCCCGTATGAGTTCAGAGCTCCCATTTCAGGGGCTCCTTTTTTTTGCAACACACTCCATGGCAATTTAGAGGTGATTAATTACATGGTTTTTAATAAAATCTGATGTTTTTGGTCGTGTGATGTTGGTAGTCATATCTGTTCAGAGCCTTCTGTCTTGTGTACTTTCAGCCAGCTGTGGAAAAAATTATTTTGATGTTTATACATCAGCTGACACCATTAAGAAAAACACAGTGTTTATGTTTATATAATTCCCCTGATACCACTGTGGAAAAAAAACATTTTGATGTTTATGAAGCAGCTAACACAACTGTGGAAAATATAATGTTGATGTTTATGTAATTCTCCAGACACCGCCGTGGGAAACATAATGTTGATGTTTATATAATTCCCCAGACACCGCTATGGGAAATATAATGTTGATGTTTATATAATTCCCCAGACACCACTGTGGGAAACATAATGTTGATGTTTAAATAATTCCTCAGACACCACAGTGGGAAACATAATGTTGATGTTTATATAATTCCCCAGACACCGCTGTGGGAAACATAATGTTGATGTTTATATAATCCCCCAGACACTGCTGTGGGAAATTTAATGTTGATGTTTAAATAGTTCCCCAGACACCACTGTGGGAAACATAATGTTAATGTTTATATAACTCCCCAGACACCGCAGTGGGAAACATAATGTTGATGTTTATATAATTCCCCAGACACCACTGTGGGAAACATAATGTTGATGTTTTATAGTTCCCCACACACCGCAGTGGGAAACATAATGTTGATGTTTATATAGTTCCCCAGACACCACTGTGGGAAACATAATGTTGATGTTTATATAACTCCCCAGACACCGCAGTGGGAAACATAATGTTGATGTTTATATAATTCCCCAGACACCGCTGTGGGAAACATAATGTTGATGTTTATATGATTCCCCAGACACCACTGTGGGAAGCATAATGTTGATGTTTTATAATTCCCCAGACACCGCCATGGGAAACATAATGTTGATGTTTATATAATTCCCCAGACACCGCTGTGGGCAATACAATTTTGATATTTACATTTCCACATACATCACTGTAGAAAATGTAATGTTGCTGTTTATAAATCCACTGACACCACTGTAGGAAAATGTAATGTTGCTGTTTATAAATCCACTGACACCACTGTAGGAAAATGTAATGTTGCTGTTTATAAATCCACTGACACCACTGTAGTATATATAATGGTAATGTTTATAAATCCACTGACACCACTGTAGGAAAATATAATGTTGATGTTTATAATTCCACTGACACCACTGTAGGAAAATATAATGGTAATGTTTATAATTCCACTGACACCACTGTAGTGTATATAATGTTGATGTTTATAATTCCACTGACACCGCTGTAGGAAATATAACATTGATTGCTACCCACCTGCAGCAGCCAAGATCTCTCTTCTGGCTATATTTCCTCAACACAAATCAGATCCCTGCTAGTAAACACAAACTGTGCTACTTGATGATATATTGCCAACTTGTGTCTGCTCTTAGTTCTCTTGTGTAGTCAGTCACCTTTAACAAAAGTAGTTGAACGAGGTGTTGTTCTTTATAGCTTGGTGGCAACATCTTTGCCGTCCGGCCCAACACAAAATTTAAGCCAACCTATAATTGGTCGCCTTTTATGACATGTTTGTTGAGTTGTGTAAGTTTTTGGTTCACCCTTAACAAAGCATTTGGACAGTGTTGTGGTTTACAGCATGGCTGTGATAACTGCCTTTTGGCCTAAAACATCCCGTTGCTGCTGCAAACCCCGTAATTAGTGGCCTTGTATGAGATGTTTGTTAAGGGCCCTAAAATCCACATGGGGATGTTGAAACTAATGCTAGCAGATGCTGTGTCTTCTTAGGAAAAGGACCAGAAATATATGTTCCCCTTGGACAGTTTAAAACTTCGAGGTGTGGATCAAGGCTTCATGAGCAAGAAGTGTGGTTTTGCTTTGTTCCATAGTGAGAACAGGTAGATGTTGGCAGTCACAGCGTTTGTTCCGTCTTGTCCACCAATGGTTTTGCTTCTAAAATAGTGCGAATAAACTGTGTTAACCTGAAGCTTGACCTGTATATAATCACTAGATTTACTTACCATCAGAAGCCACTGGTTGTCACTTAATTGCTTGGTTTATTTTGTCATTGGGAAGTGTGCTTAGCTTGGCTGTGTTATTGCTTTGTTGTAGATATGTATTGTTGTCTTATTATTACCTTGCATGAGTTAACATGTCTACAGTATTGATGTTACCAGTAGAAGATCAGTGTATTGCTGTCCTTTATACAGTGTGTTAGTTATGTTAATTAATGTCATG